TGTCAGCATTTTGGAAAACCCTAACTTAACTCTGGTGCCGTGTCACATATAGAAATTTTTTGATATTTGCAACCATAGTAAAACAAAGACTTATATTTTTGATATTTATTTTATATATTTAAATGCCATTTAACAAAGAAAAATCAACCAAAAAAATGAGTTCGCGTGTCACCTCTGACACGCATGTCATAGGTTTGCCATCACTGGTATAGATGGATGCTAACCTCAGTCTCCAAGACCTCCCCAGCGCAGTGCTGACTATTTCTGCCCAGCCCCTTGCTGTCTTTAGCAGGAGGCTAAAACCACTGAAGGAAAATCTCCCAACCCCACATGTTCACTGCCCTGGGCCCTGGGAAGTGGGCCTTTGCACTGCTGGCCATCAAGTCCTGGAGACCCTGACATGTCTTTCGAGTTTATCTACTCCTTGCCTTCCTTATTTCAGAACCTTTGTTACCTGGATACAAGGGCAACTCAGTCCTAACTGGTTTTCTGTTCCTACTGTGCCCGCCACCGCCATTCTCCACCAGGTACCTCAAAAGGGCCTGCCCACAACTCCAGTCCTAACTGAACTTCAAAAGGTGGCTTAGAAAGCCCCACTTCCATTTCTTGCCTTCTGGGTATTTGTCTGGCCTACCCCAGCACCTGGCAACCAACCATGGCCATGCTTGGGCTCCCTCTTAGCTATGCCATCTCCTCCAGGAAGCACCCCCCCCCCACCAGTTTAGTACCAGGTACTTAACTGAGGCAAACTGTCCCACTCAGCACAGCATCCCAGAACCTCGACATGTAGTCAAGAACAAATCCTGAGCAATGGTTTGTTCACCTCCAAGTGTCAGCCAGACTCCCAAGAATAAGTCAATTGCAAAATGTTTGCCCCAGGTGCACTGCAACTTGCACCTTTCCTTCAAGTCTTTTATTTTCTGAGTTCTTACAAAAACACGAATCAGGAAAAAACTGACAAAAGGAGGACAAACCCTCAGTATTAGCCAGGGACCAGGGCCGTGGGAGGAGCAGGAGGCTGGGCCTCACTGGGTCTGCAGGGTAAAAGGGTGGAAGGTCCTGAGGCCTCTGGGCATGTTGGGTCTGAGGAGGAAGGGGCATGTCACTTAAAAATATATTTATATGTATATATATACTGTACACATCTATACGAAGTGTCCTGTGTCAGGACGGAAGTCAGGCGCGGGGTCAGCGAGTGGAGGTCTCGGAACTGGGCACACTCCCTCCTCCTCCTCCTCGGACCAACCTCTGCAGGGCTTGTGGGCTGGGCCAGCACCGACTCTGTGGCTGGCCATCTTCTTCTGGGGAGGAAGGGGAAATTAAACATTCACTCCAACCCATGGGGAAGGAAACACACCTAGATGGAAGATTTCCTGACTTTTTCTGCATCAGGGAGAATCAAATCAATTCAAAACCTGGCATCCAGATGCAGGGGACAGGCATTAACTAACTATAGTGGATACCAGCACTGGTCACGCCCTGGGAAGTGGGCTGAGTGCTTGAGTGCCTAACTCCCCTTATGCCTGCCATCAGCCCAGGCGGCCACTTACAGCAGGTGTGGGGCTGCTGGGCCTGCTCAGCACAGAGCACGTTACCCCTTCCCCACCACCCGGGAAGCACAGGCCCATCGAATGGCTCCTCTCGGGGAAACCACCTTCTTTCCCATGAGTAAATGCCCTCAAATTAATGATTACAAGGAAAAGGAAGTGGACTGCAGGGAGGGAGAGAGGAGCTCAAGCCTTACCCTCATCCACAAAGAGGCGCCATCCCAGTGCCCATCTCCTAGGGCATGTGCAGTGTCTGCACCCAGGGAGTACCAGGTGCCGGCCACTGACCGTGAGTGACAGAATCTCTTTCTCCACCCTTCCCTGTGGGGCCCACCTCCCAGGTCCTGCCTGGCTCCTGGGGACCATGGCAATGCTGGAGCTCCCCTCACTCCAGCCCCCATCCCCCATCCCCCCGCCCTCTCCAGGGATCAGATGCTCAGCAAGGGTCCCCGGGCCAGGAAGTGTACCTGCTGTCTTGTGCTCCTCAGACAGGCTGCTGCTCTGTCTTCTTCTGTGAGAAGAGAAGGTGAGAGACTCCTGTACCTGACGGCCTCCTCACCCATGCTGCCCCCACCAGGAGGGCATGAGGGCTGCCTCCTGCAGATCTGAGGCCTCCCCACCTACCCCCAGAACCGATGCCGGGTGCACAGGGATTCCTGAGAACAGGGGCGGTGCCCCACACACCCCACCTACCCCCAGAACCGATGCCGGGTGCACAGGGGCGGTGCCCCACACTCTCTCAAGGAAGGAGCCCAGAACTGTGCGGCACAGACGTTCAGCTTCCCTGAACACAGCCAAGGCCTGGGGCCCAGTGAGAGCATCTGTACAGGTGCTGAGTCCCCACACCCCAGCCTTCAGGTGAGCAGCCTTGATCACCCATGAAGCAGACGTGCGTTTCTGTGGAGGGGTCCCTGCCAGCTGGGGCACCACCTCCCAGGGAACGCTTCCTCTCCTACCTGGGACCTGTAACAGCCTCCCTGTGCCCTGGGGCTTCCTCCCTTCACCCGCCACAGGACATCCTTCTACCTCAGACAGGGCAGAGGGTCACTTCCATGACTTCCACACAGACCTGTCCCTCCTCGGGGGGCTCTACTCTAGAGTCACAACTCACCCCTGCATACTCCCCGCCCATGGAGATGGGCGGGACGCTGGTCTAGCTCCCACCCTGTCACCTGCCATGCACAGGATGGGGCTCATCACATTGCCCCTGGGGACGAGGTTAGGTCCCTTTTCTGGCCTGAAACCCCCAGGAACTCACTCTACCTTTTTCTTCTTTTTCTTCTGTATTTGTGAGTCAGGGTCTTTGGTTGAGGCCTTTTTGGCTTTCTTCTTATTTTCCTTTTTTTCCTTGTCTTTTTTTTCTAAGGGAAGAAAGTAAACTTCCTAAATAACAGATGTTAAATTTAAGTGTTGGGACCAATATCGGGAGACACGCAGGGCAGGTCTCCAGGGATCCTAGGAGCCCCTCCTCCCGCAGTTGGGTCTCCAGCTCTCCCCACACCCTGGGGAACCATGAAAACAGGCCCTCAGGCCTATGACCACCTGCCCTGGCCTCATAATTTCTGCCCCACCTATGGAACACCTGGAGTATTACTACTTTTCTTTAACTCACTTTACACATTTATTTAAGACTAAAGGCTTGAAGCATGAAATTCGTGCAAGAGTAGGCCTTCCTTCCCCCCACTGCCGGCACCAGCTTCCCTCGTCCGGAAGGACATCTGGTCTAATTAGCATATTGCACTTTTATTATTATAGACTAGAGGCCCAGTGCACGAAATTCGTGCATGGGGGGGGGGCGGGGGGTGTGTCCCTCAGCCCAGCCTGCACCCTCTCCAATCTGGGACATCCCCCTCCCAATCCAGGATTGCTGGCTCTTAACTGCTCACCTGCCTGCCTGCCTGATCGCCCCTAACTGCTCCCCCTGCTGGCCTGATCTCCCCTAACTGCCTTTGCCTCGGCCCCCGCCACCATGGCTGTGTCCAGAAGGATGTCCAGTCTATCTGGTCTAATTAGCATATTACCCTTTTATTAGTATAGATACTCTCTATGGAAAATGGGAATGCAGTATCACCTATTACAGGGGGTTAAATGAGGTCCCGCCACATGCAGTCTGGCACAGAGCTCACAGGGGCAGCTGTACCTCTGCAGGGAGCTGTGGTCTAGGAGCGTGGACCTGAGAAGCCTGAAGCTGAAGGTGCACTGAGCACTGTGGGGAGCAGGCCCCGCCCTGGAGCGCTGGGTCTCCCTGCCAGTGGGCCCAGGTGCTCTGGGGTCACTCTGGCTTTGTCAATAGCTGCCCCCCATGACCCTGGACAATCTTCATCCTCCCCGTTCTGTGCTGAGGGCCCGTCCCGCCCGTGTGGTGACCGACAGCCCTCAGCACAGGGCTGGGCAAGCGCGATCCAGGCTGTGGACAGGCACTTACTCTTGTCAGATTTTTTTTTCTCCTTGTTCTTTGAGTTGGCTTGGCCTCCACCCTCAACCATCACCATCTCTGGCTCCCGTTCTG